TGCGTCAATACAGCATCACCTCGGAAATGAGCGGTGCTTGTCCTGAAAAAGGTGACATTGACATGTCCAGGCTTGCAGCTGGCAAATATGATTCTTGAACACACCAGGCGGGCCGGTGCGATTATGCGTTTTTGTGCTGATTTTGTGTAGCTCATTTGGCTTGGCCCATCAAGCATCTCTCCAGGCAACCCAGTTTGGAACACACCAGGCGGGCCGATGCGATTATGCGTTTTTGCACTTTTCATGCCGTAGCAAGATCGCAAGGAGTCACAGCAGCTAACCCTATGACATACTGGCCCTCGAAGTTCGGGAAGTTAACTGTGCAGCTATGTGATATGTCAGCTGTAAATGTCGTCTTTCAGTGACCCTATAAATGGAAAATTGCTAGTCCGCAAAAAAGGCCGCACTAGAAGAGTTAAATTTGATATCTTTTAGCCGCACATGAGTAGGGAACATTCCCTTAAAATTAAAGCCTTCAGTTTTCCCGTTCCTGAGTTAGCAGTTTTCCCATCTAAATTTTCACATGTCCGTACGTGAGTACTGGGCGGTTTTAAGGAACTGAATTTGAAATCTTTTGATCACATATGAGTAGGAAGCATCATCCTAAAGCTTCAGCTTTCTAGCTTTTTTCGTTCCTGGGTTAGTGATCTTCGCGTCAAAACTTTCACGTGTCTGTGCGTGGGCTCTGGGTGCTTTTAAACACTTGATTTTTATCGTACATGAGTAGCAAACATTCCCCGAAAGTTTTAGCTTTCTAGCTTTTTTCGTTCCCGGGTCAGTGATTTTCGCGCCAAAGTTTCCACGCACTCGTAGGTGGGCTCGGGCGCTTCTAAACACCTGATTTTGCTCGTACATGAGTAGGGAACATTCCTCCAGAGTTTCGGCTTTCTAGCTTTTCCCGTTCCCGGGTTAGTAATCTTCGCGTCAAAATTTCGACGCGCTCGTATGTGGGCCCCGGGCGCTTCTAAACACCTGACTATGGTTGTACATGAGTAGGAAACATTACCCTAACGTTTCAGCTTTCCAGCTTTTCCCTTTCCCGGGTTAGTAATTTCCGCACCAAAACTCCCACATGTGGCGTACTTAGGTCTCGGGCGCCTCTAAACACCTGATTTTGCACGTACATGAGTAGAAAAAATTCCCCTAAAGTTTCAGCTCTCGAGCTTTTCCCGTTCCCGGATTAGTGATTGTCGCGCCAAAATTTTCATGTATCCGTACGTGAGCCCCGGGCGGTTCCAAGGAGCTGAGTTTGAAAAATTTTGGTCGAGCGTGGGTAGGGAACATTCT